TGAAACGTGGTCATTTGTATGGGTGGTTGTCTTTATCATAATATTTTTTACTCCACTCCACGTGTCATCATAACAATAAAAAGATGCCATAGGGGAAATGGGAAGTGGTTGTTTGTATAGGTCATTATCTTGGACATTGTCTGTGGTTGTTAGAGTAAGTTCGACTATGCTAGTTGGGACTGAAATATATTTCCAACCTATTGAGGTGCATTCTGTTGTTTGACAAACGTGTTGGGGCAGCTTTGTCCTGGCTGGTCAGCAAGTCAGAGGCTGGTTGGTCGCAAAAGGGTTGATATACTTTTGATTATATATTAATAGATAGAAAGGGTTAATATACTCTTGATTAATAGATTAATAGATAGAAAGGGTTAATATACTTTTGATTAATAGATTAATAGATAGAAAGGGGTAATATACTTTTGATTAATAGATTATTAAATAGAAAGGGTTAATATACTTTTGATTAATAGATTAATAGATAGAAAGGGTTACTATACATTAGATTAATAGATTAATAGATAGAAAGGGTTAATATACTTTTGATTAATAGATTAATAGATCAATAGATAGAAAAGGTTAATATACTTTTGATTAATAGATTAATAGATAGAAAGGGTTAGTATACTTTTGATTAATAGATTTGTGCTGGTTGTGGTTCAATCTCCTGGATATCTCACTCATCGTTGAATCATTTTCTTTCTTATCCTTTTTTTTTTTTTTTCCTTTTTATTTCACTTCTTTGGTAACTTTAGCTCTGTTTGAACCTTGAACTTTGAACTCAGGTGGTTGTCCTTCACAGCAGGATGTAGCCCTCTAATATCGACCTCCACTGTTTAGTATTCTAATGAGCTCTTGTAGTGATTGCTTTGCTGGGTTTTTTTCTATTTTATTCATAAAAGCATTTTTTGGTATTATTTAGATTTATATTTTGTATGAATACTTCTGTTCTCGTCTAGCCTTAGGTTCAGATTAAAACCTTTTTTTTCCCCGCAAAGCCAGAAGCATTATCATATCATCTTCATCTCCATCATCATCATCATCATCATCATCATCATCATCATCATCATCATCATCATCATCATCATCAGCATCATCATCATCATCATCATCATCATCATCATCACTACTGTCTTCATCATCTTAAGAATATGTTCATCAAAATAATCATTGTCAAGATTTTTTTAAATCATCACTTCTATCAAGTATCTTCTCCTTAAAATTCACATAAACGATTTTATCTGTCTCCCTGTCATTTTTTAAGTACCCGTTGAGAAATGATGAAATCAAAATCAATGGTAACATTTTCCAGAATTTGTCTTTTTGTGTTTTGATTAAAGTATGGAATCTTTATAAGTGATATAAGATAAAATACACTTTGTCGTTCTTCCACTGAAAAAAATGAGAAATTTTACACTATTTATCAAAGCAAATAAAAGATTGCTGACAGTGTACATCGTTATTTTCAACTGTATTTTTATTTGTTAGAATCGTATTAAACTATTTGATCAAAGTTGGCTGAAATGTAGAACAGAAATGGAATTCTTTATTTCACTGCAATGCAACACATTATATCCATCCCTGGGGTTCATACTGCTATGCAGCCATTTACTATCATTTAGACACATACTGTTATTATTTACACAAAGTTTTGTTTGTGCAGATTGCAAAGTATCATCTATATATACATGTGAGGCAGCGTGGTGGAATCAGGCTCTCGTCAAAATGCATCAAAGTGAAGAAACTTGCATTTTTCGAAAGGTTTTGGAATTTTTATCAAATTTTTGTTTTATGGCCCAAGACCTTTCATGCCCATTAAAGAACTAATTTCTGTGTGGATTTTTCTGAAAAACGTTGATTAAAAGCACAAAAAATGGAAATTTTCTGTTCCCACCGACTCTTAAGCTAAGGAAATGACTAATGTTTGGCGGCCATTTTCTCACTAATTTTACCTCTGAAAACTGGTAACCCCACCTCATTCATTCGTAAATATCTCGACTTGTATTTAAGATAAATGGATATTTTTTCATCCAAATAAAGACAAGTGAACAAGCTTTAAGATGACACCAATAACTCTACATGCCCAAAAATTGACGAGAGCCTGATTCCACCACGCTGCCTCACATATATTATATTTGGGAAAGTTCATTACTTTGATCACCTAAAATTTCCGAACCATTTAACTTTCAAATATGAAAAAAGTAACGGTGGTTCAGAATATTTCAAAGGGTGCACCGTTATATTATGGAGTCGAAAGTCGTAGTTTAATTATCAGTTTTTTTATTAGTTTCGTTTAGATCTTATCTTGGGAAAGTCCGTCTTCTAAGACGACATTTTAAACAATAAGTAAGGCTTCTGTTCACAAGCAGTGCGCCCTGGCTCTACAATGACTGACGATCGATTCTTTTGAGTCCCGATCGATTCTTCAAGTCTGTTCATCCAACGAGTACCCATCTAGTTTTTAATAAATATGTCGTTGCCCTTGTAATGAGACAAATTAACCAACAAAATGTCATTTTTGAAATTTTACGAATTGACTGTTAAATTTTCTATTTCATATGCTCAGTCCTAAACGGGTCTGAATTTTGACTATGAATACTCCTAAAAATTAAAAATAAAGCTGGTCGCAAAGTTGCAGCGTGATAAAACCAAATAAGTTTCTTTTTTTCTCCAGTAAAATTTACTTTGCTGTAGTAAGTCGGTGTTATTACAACTGGGACTATATTATGTTGCTTCTGTGTCCACAGACCCGGCCGGTCCCTACGGCTACTTGACCAGTGAGAGAGCTTCTCCCACAGCTCCAGGTGAGAACAGGACAAGAAGCTACACCCCTCTCCCTTCTCTTTCCTCTTATCCCAAATACACC